GTCAAAACACAGATAACAGCATCATTCTTTTTGATGTCAATTAAGTTGCATTACTCTTTATTTGGCTGATGACATCCTGAGAAAATGAGTGATTTCTTCAAAGCAGTAATTCTTAAACATCAGAGCTTATCAGAATCCACTGGAAAGGCACCTCTTTCAGAGCTTCTAGGGTAGCCTAAAGTGGGCTCTGCCTTTAAAGCTCAAAATTCTCTGGAGATATATCCCAAGAGAAATGGTGAACATAACATTTCCCACATTTCAAAAGTAAAAACATTCAAAGATCAGGCTCCATGACTTATTTCCCTCTTCGTAATCCTCGCAGGGCCAGAGGGTCGACAGGATGAGACATGTGTGGCCACAACCCCTGTGGCTTCACTGTTTTTATTAATACAGACATGTACGGCCATGCGGAGGTGTCCGGAAGCCCCCATCTGGCAAAGATGACTAATGGGACTTTCCCACTGACATCCTAGCAAAGGTGCCAGAAGTATATTCGTTCCAGATCACAGCCGTAATAGGGCAGTTTCTCCTGGGACATTACCCTGACAGACAACCATCTTCCTTTTCCAACCTTTGTGGCATCCCCATGTGGTACCTTCCTCTCCATGGTGGGGAGCACAGAAATCCATATCTGACCTGAACCTTGGAACTGAACCCTTCACAGCAAATGTCAACCTTTCTATAAACCACTAGGAGTACAATTTTTCTTTAATTTTAAAGATTGCAATTTTCACCCACTTTTACATTCCATGTTGCAAAAAGTGAAGAGCAGATAGGGTCTAGCTTGAATCTGTAATCAAAGGAGTGCTAAGGGAGTGCAAAAGTAGATGCAAATTCAAGCAGATATTATTGGCTGCTTGCTGAAAATCATCAAAGTCTTTCTCATAAAGCAGTGGGAAGGAATGGAGTGATGAGTGATGTATTCACCATGGATTCTGTGGAGTCAGAACTTGCAAATACATATTAGCCTAAGAAATACAGAGGACATTTATTCACGAAGATAGGCGAGATTTCACACTAGAAATAAAACTCACAAAATCATTAACACAATCCTAGTCCATTAATAATTGCTTTTTTTCAGATAAGATGAACCAACAGCCTTAGTAAAAAATAGATATCTGGAGCATGAACTGTCCTATTTATTAACTGAGTGACCTTGGGAAAATCATATAATCTTTCTGAGCTTCAGTTGTTTCATAAGCAAAATAAGATTGCACTAGGCCAGGTGCAGTGGCTCACACCTGTAATCCCATCACATAGGGAAGCTGAGGTGAATCACTTGAGCCCAGGAGTCTGAGACAAGCCTGGATAAAATAGTGAGACCTTGTCTCTACAAACATTTTTAAAAAAATTATTATCTGGCTGTGGTGGTACATACTTGTGGTGCCAGCTACTTGAGAGGCTGAGGTGGGAGGATCACTTGAGCCCAGGAGGTCAAAGCTGCAGTGAGCCATGATCATGCCACTACACTCCAGCCTGGGCAACAGAGTGAGACCCTATCCGAAAAATAAGAATTTTAAAAAATTGAACTATATGCTCTCTAAGATTTCTTCCAACCCTGAAGTTCTGTGTCTATAATAGAGGGAACACTGGCTATTGGAAGATTTCACAGAGATATGAAACATGAGGGGATGTCTTATAATAGCAAAATAATTCTCTTTCAACATGGATGTTTTGGTATTTTGAGAATACCAAAACTAAATGTGACTCTGGTAGTAACAGAAGCAGGATTTGAAAAGCTGCAAAGATATAGGAGCTGCAGAACAGGTTCCTAGAACACCATACCCAGAAAAATTCATCTCTCCAAGGATGCCAAGCAATATTTTCTAAACAGTCTTAGAGAATGGCAACTCTACTGGGTACTAAAAGGCTTGAGAAGTGACCAAAGTTAAATAAGTAATTTTGCTGCAGGAGGTCTCAGAGCCTTTTCTGCACTGTCCGACAGAACTTTCTGCAATGATGGAAATATCTATGTATGTACTTTCCAATACGGCATCCATAATCCGCATGTGACTGTTAAGCACTTGAAATGTAGCTAGTGTGATGGAGGAACTGAATTTTTTATTTTATTAATTAGTTTGTAGTTAAATAGCCAGATGGGGATAGTATCTATATTTTAGACAGCATAACTTGTATCACACACACGCATTTACAGTGCTAGCTCTAAGAGGGAGCCAGTGCATACAGCAATTACCAAACTTGCTGAGCCATAGAATTCTGCTTCCAAAAAATTGGAATTCTTTGCAAAACCATTTGGGAAAGACTAGGCTATGAGCTATCTGCTAGATGGTTGAAGCCCCAGGATATGACTCTAGCGTTGACATTCTAACTAGCCAGCACCATCATGAGTATCAGTCATGACCAAGTGGTAAAGACTGGGCTGTTCTCTGTTTTCAGCATGTGATAATATCACCTCACAATTCAATCACATCAAATTTCCCAAGTCCCAACAGACACCCTTAGCAGAGGTAGCCCAGTGCAAGTACAGTCAACAGGAATCAAGCAATGTTAAATAACTGGCCTTTCCACCAGACATAAAACAAGGATAACCTAGTGCTGGGCTTTTAAGTTCACCAGTCAATCTTGGTTGCAATGATACATCGTTATCTCAACAACTCAGCGAGATAGGCAGCATTCCATTTTGTAGGGAAGGAAAATGGTATTTAGACAACTGAAGTGACTTAGTTGCTCAAGGTCACACAGTTAATGGAACTTAACCTCAATCTTTGAACTATACCTCCTCAATCATTCTAACAAAACCATTTTGAACTGAATCATTCCTTAAAATGCCTAGGGCCCATAAAAATATTGAATTAATACATTCTCAAAATACCAAAACATTATGGATCCCTGAGGCAAGTAGTTTGTCTTATAAGCTTTGCTCAGATACACCTTAAGAAGTATAATAAATGCAAGAAATGTGTAGTGACAATGGAATATAAGAGACTGATATGATTATTCATGAAAATACATAATTCCTATTCTCCAAGAAATCCTCCACTGGACCTGTAATAATTATATGCCTCTCAACTGAAAAATCCATATTGGTATGTAAATAACCAGCTACAAACTTCATTCGCCCAATTATTTCTCCTTTCCTGGGTATGCAAGCAATTTAGTGCTTCTGAATGCCATTTATTCAGACCACAATAGCGCACACAACTGCTCATTTGTGCATCAAATCCAGGCTTGTCTCCTTGAGTGGTAGCTTGCGGGCCAAAGTCCTTGAACCAATTTGTCATCCCATCAAATAAGTGCATTTGACTCTGACCTACACGGTTGCAGAAATCAAGGTTACTCGGTGGAATATTGTTTTTTGAACCATTATTTGGCCTTGTAGGAAATTGGGATTTGCAGCTATGACCCAAAGTTCCAAATCCAGGCATTGCCAAAAGAAGACAATACACGCCTTGAAACAGCATGTCAAAGAGGTGACCCTCTAGAAATTACGTAGGCATGGCTGTCTATTAGCAGGGCTTACTACATTCACTTTGGCTTTTAGATTAAAATATAATCAATTTCAGTCTAATATATAGCAGTTATTATTTTCTCTTTAGTAAAATTATATACATTTAATATAAATAATATTGACTTCATTATGTCATACTGTACTCTGAAAATAATTTATACTACAGTTTTCATTACAGTGTTGCATACAAAATACCATCTGCGGTCATCTCAAGGGTTCTGAGAAACCTAAAGGAAAAGAAAAGTGGGAGGGAAAGTAACAATGAAAGAACAAAGGGTCAGCTGGAAGAAGATACAAGGACATTTAAAGGCAAAGGCTAGGTTGTCAGGCAGTTTGAACAAAATGACGAGACACATGGAGGGCCGGAAAATCTGAGAGAGAGAAGATTATTTAAGTAATCAGCACTCTCAAAGGCACGGTGGAGAACACAGGGAAAATTGTGGGAAAGGAAAAGGCTGGTTAAGGGGGAAGTTGGAAACACATGAATGGGAAAGGGGGAACAAAACACCTCTGCACACAAATCCAGGCATCCAGCTGAAAAAGCTCAGGGGCTGAGGGGCGCTGGTACACCACCACCAGATCTTACCACCTAGGGCCTTGTTAATGTCTCAGATTCCTGGTCCCCGTGTTTTTAACAGGACCTCCAGGTGACTCTCATGATTGGCAAGCTTGGGAGCCAGTGCTAGCAAAGAATGGCACAGAGGGAGGGCTGACAGTCTAAAGTTTGAAATCAGATTCATTCACTCCCCAGCTCTGTGAACCCGGAATACACTTGGCTTTCTGAGCCTCGGTCTTCTTATCTATAAATGTAAGAATATGTTTTGCCCCATAACAACCCTCTAGGTTAAGTATTATTATTATCATCCCCATTTTACAGATTAGGAAGCCAAGGTACAGAGTGATGAAGTACTTCGCCCAAAGCCATGCTGCTGACAAGTGGCAAAGTTGGTATCAAAGCAGAAGACACCTGGCTCCAGGTGCTATGCTCTCAGCTGGACACTGTTCTGTCTCTCCTTGCAGAAAGGAGCGCTCTGCTGAGAAAGGCAGGGGAAAGGCTTTCCAGGCAAAGCATTTTATGTTAATTCTTATTCACCTCAGATGATAACTGATGTCCCACTTACATAAGTTACTCTGTGAACTAGCAAGTTTACTCAAATTAGTTTTTGAATCAAGCGTTTCTTCCCCAAGATTAATCATTTATAGGAATCAAGCCATGACTCCATCTGGGAGATGGCTTGAGCATATTAATGCTTCAGCAAACGTCACAGCTAATAATGGTACCACAAGTGGTAGAAATGAGTATTCCATCAGGCACCCTTAGTCTACGTGCCCAGACTTGAATCTGCATTCATGGGATTCATTGATGTAAGACCAAGTGCCCTGAGTGTGTTCACCTCTACGATACTTTACACAAGCTTCTAATCTCCTCAACATATTCCTGGGCTGGAAATTTGCATTGTCTTTGAAATTGGGTCTTACAAGTTCATTTCTCAAGATACTGCAGCATATATCAAAATGAAGATCTAATCACCTGCTGTTCCGACAAAGAATATTTATTTTACCAGGATGTGTGAAATGATTGTTTCTCATTTGTCATCATGCTCTTCACTCCGGGCAGGAAGAAGATGCACATCATGCATCCTGAAAGACAGAACATGACACCAGAAAATAATTCTGAATGTTCTTTCAAAATACATATGTATATATAAATATAAATATATATTATGTATACTGCAGAAGACAGCGTCCATTGGACTCTGAACCAGAATGACTTTTCCTTATTCCTTCCCACTTGCAGATATTCTGCCTTCTGGAGTTTTTGCACCATTCCATGTGAAATATTTAAAGGTAGCTCCATGTTCTGGAGTTCTGAATAGTGAGTTTTCTGCCATAGGAGGTATTCAGACCAAGTCAGTTGATCATCTGGCAGAAAGGTATAAAACTTAAAATCAAACACCAGAAGGGGTATTTAAACTGGATCACCTTTACCTCTTAACCTTCAGCTTCTAGGACCATTCCGGCCTCTTCTGTCAGACTTCAAAGGTTCAATTCTTTCATCATTCCTCCTAGAACACTGTCTTTATATGTCATCAGCCTAGATGTCCCACCCTCATCTGGATATGTCCTCATCAAACAACACCCCTTTTACAGGGTGCTCCTCAGATCTGAACAAATGTGATCTGACCCATGAAGAACACCTAGGACTGCTACCTCTTTAATCAACATTCACTTCTGTCACGTGCTCTGGAAGAGCACTTCCTGTTGTTAAAGCTATGCCTCACCAGTGGCTCTAGTTGAGCTTGAGGTAACCTCAACTGTCCAAAGTTGTAGGACACGGATTTTGACAAGAGGCTGGGTAAGGAGGGCATCTGTGCAATTAGCCACCTGCTTAGAGAAACTGTTATCATGGGGAGAAGCAGCCAGGAGATGGAAAGGGAGGTGAGAAACTTTCAGAGGTAAATTTCAGTTTTTCAGTTTTGCCTCTGATTGGCCCTGGGATTGAGGACCATGGAGACAGTCAATCCAATATTTCCAAAACAAAGTTTGTACCTGCCTGTAGTCTAAATTATACCAAGAAACATTCCCCCAACTCTTCTTCATCTCTACTCCTCAAGATTCACTGTCTGGGCATACTTGAACCTTGGATAGTCAAATATTCTATGAGGGAAGTATTTTAGGGTTCAAAAATAGCATCAGAGAAAAGGATCCCCCAATACACAAGAAAGTATCCCAAGATATAGCATAATGGGTTGATAAAGTGATGGAAGTTTCCGCCAAGTTAGGAATCAACTGTGTGTCACTTCACTGCAATGCAATGACAAGATCCAATGTAGCCTTCCACATATACACACACACACAAATCCTCACATTGCATCTTTGAGCATTAGGGCACACAAGGAGCAGAGGCTCTTGTCTTTGCCCTAATGCTTAAAGATGCAATAATTAATGATTTCCACATTAAGTTCAATCTGTCAACCAGGAATGACTGACCAACTAATTTTCGTGAAAATTATCCACAAGGGTTCTACACTGGCTCCTTCCTTAACTTCACTCCAATCATACCTATATGTCATGCAAGTGCACAGGGCCACATCCCAAACAGGCACTCAAAATATTCTAAAGGAATGCAGAATCCATCTCTGTTCATTCATTCAAAAGTATCCAGCATCTACTAAGTGCTTACCTAAAGAAGTATGAGAGGGTTCTTTCCCTCCAAGAACTTATCCTGTAATCATAAGATGCCTCTATACTAAATATTTCAATCCAGCATGCTTGGCAACCACATCACCCCACGTCCAAAGGAGTTGCAAATGCATAATAAACTGTAGGAGTTTAAAGGAGGAGAAGGCTGATGGTTGGCTGGCCAGCTACAACCTCCTGAAAACAAGAGGATCAGAGCTGGATGGCATAGGCCCAATCTTACAACCAGGTTACAAGATCCCGGAGGAGTCTGGCTGCCATTTCCACTGCCAGCCTGGAAGGTTGCAGGGAATCACAATCATTACAAGCCTGAAGAATTATGTCTTGAGTATTCCTGGCAACTCAATTACAGCATGCAAATTTTCCGCGGAGTTGACTTCTTGGCTTCAGAACCGCGCACACGCTCCTTTGGGCTTTTTGCACGAGGAAAACATTATTGGGAAAGGAGTCTGAGGATCAGCCACTGGGAAGTGCACTCAATAGCACTTTGGTTGAGATAATTGCTGCTGTTTTTTTTTAAATTGTAGGCTTTAGAGATGACCACAAGCAAAATTTGTGACAGACATTTGACACTGAGAAACTCTGCTGTGTATGGGTGAAATTTTTCACATCCCCCCCCTGCCCCGCCAAAGGCTGGTTTATTGACCAACAAAGGGAAACTATCCAAAACCTCTAGAGTACGTTAGCCAAGTTTTCTCGTTTGTGACAATGCTTCTTTGCTAGGTACCAACATTTCTCCTTGTGTATAGTCATGCGGATTCTCATCCAGGCAATCCTGTTCAACTACAGAGTCGGGTGATGGCACAGCAGCCCAGCTGCCTGGGTTTAGTGTTGCTCTGTGAGCACGGACATACACATTTGCAGCAAGACTCCTCACCCACTGTGGACTCAAGGGATTTCAAAGCCCTGTTCAGTGTCTGCAGAGCTGCCTTCCTGTCCTCAGGGCCAGATGTTCTCCTTTGTCCTTTCTGCCTGCAGCTAGTTCTGTCTAGAAGAAAGCTTACAGTGTAACAGTGCAAAGGACACAAGGGCATCAAGCGAAAGGAATCCCATGCCAGGGAAAATAAAAGAGCTTTCAGAGCCACTCTCTTTCCCTGTGGCCATCAGGACCCTGGATATCAGTTAGCATAACAAGACTATAGTCAGAAGAACAGGGCAGAGAGTTTAAAGACACTCTTAAGAGTCTCTAGCCCCCAACAGGGTGTGGGAGCTTGCCAGCAACTTGCACAGTCATTCCCTGAGGGCACCTCCAACAGGTTCCAGGGCTCCTGAGGAACTGACTTCCTAAGCAGGCTTTCCTACCTGTAAAAGGAAGCATCCCCGCCTCCTGGACTTTTTGATAATTCTACTTATTATGAAGATGGCATTACAGAAGAAATATTAGATTGGGAGTTATACTATATTTGGCTCTGCCATTCCTTGGCTTGGGGACATCAGGGAAGCTCTTTGTGGCTTAGTTCTGTCACCTAAAAATTATAATAATGTCTATTTCCTGGAGTCCCTAGGAAGATTCAATTAGACAGTGGAGGTGAAAATGCCTAACAGGGGGTCTCGCACATGGTTTGTCCTACATGAAAGTTAATGAACACATGAACTACATTAACAAATCATTTCCAAGATGACTGTTGCATGTTAGACAGTGAGATTTATAAAAATGAGCAAAGCATTTTTTTCCTTTGCTGAACTTATAGACTAGTTAAGAAGGTGATATGAACACATGCAAAAGAACGCATTAAAAAACTGTAAACAAGCATCCAAAATGGATATACATGACAAGTGCCAAGGGAATCTCAAAAAAGAAAGGACAAGGGGAAGAAAGAAAGTCAAGCAAGAAGATATTTTAGCAGAACCACAGAGGTTAAGGAGGATTTTTTTTAATGAGACCAGAAAATATCCCGGATGGAGAAAGCCTTTCAGAATACAGAGACATCCAGACAGAGAAAGGCTTTCAGGAAAATAATTGTCTCTCATGAATTTACATAATAAAAGTTGGCTTTCCAAGGGCCCAGCACAATTGCATTTAATAACTATTAAAGCTCAAGACCAATCCCAGTGTACAGAGAAAGAACATCTACCAACCATCTCCTGCATGATGGTGTCTTCGATTCAGTACAAGAGAAAGTATATCAATGGTTCTCCAATCTCAGAAAGAGAACAGAAGGCAAGAAAAAGAAAGCATGCAGACAGATAACCATCTGTGTGTGCTGGTTTCGTCTTCCTTCAAATGTGTAATTATGATTTCAAGAGCTGTTGGCCATTTTGAGGACTGATGGTCCAGGTCAAACAACCCACGAAGGAGGAAATCAACCTACAGACAATAGACCATGTTTTTTTGGCATGATTTGCTTTTAAAGGAGATTTATGATTGTCAACTAAAAACTAAGTACTTCCTCAATATATTTTAATTTGGTAGGAAACATCAAATTCACACATCTTCAGCAAAGCCTAAAATGGTGCCAACCACTTCATCCCTAGAATAAAACATAAAACTGCATTATTTTCATTTTGTATGAAACATTCAAAGTTCAAGCTGGAAAATTGTGTGTGGGCTGATGCCTGATGGTGTAGCCGGTTATTATGTAGTGACTCACGATAAATTTCCAGAGCTACCACACCTTAAAGTTAAAATCACCCAAGCCACACAGTAAACTATTAGCGAAGATATTTTGTAACCATAATTTCTAGTCTTTTAACTAATTTTTTTTTAACTTGTGGCATGGCCAATTTTATAAAAGTCATAGAAATCTCTTTTCTGGAATCCATGTTTTCAAATATTTATCATTTCACAAACAATACAAAATAAAAACACACCCCTGGGGTATTTTAAGGAATGTTTCTGCTGACCAGCTTGGTCAACCAGTGTAATCCTGGAGCACCAGCACACTCATGTCGGCTGGCCTAGGCTCCTCGCCACAACCAGCACTCAGCAAAGGACGCCTGCGGTTATGGCAGTGTCTGCCCCAGGTACCCAAAAGGAAGTCTCTTCATGGCAAGGCCATGCGGGAGAAGGCACGACACAGAAAGGGCTGATGACAAGATACCACCGTTCTGAGAGAGGCTACCCTACAGAGGAGGAGCTGCCAAGCTGTCCCCTGACACAAAACAACTAGTAAAGCATTCGTATCTCAGGGAGAGCCCTTATACCTCAGCCGGAGTCCAGTTTTGGTCACCTGCAGTAATACACTTCACAGGAATCCACAATGAACTCACATCAGCCTATGCCCAAGAACTCAGAGCTGGAAGCTCCTGTTTAACACAAATGTAGGTTCAAAGAATGAGTCCACAGATCTCATCAGAGCACCTCAATCAACTGGCTTTTCTTTTTTTTCTTTAAAAAAAATTGTAGGGATTGAGTCTCACTATGTTGCCCAGGTTGGTCTTGAACTCCTGGCCTCAAGTTATCCTCTGGCCTTAGCCTCTCAAACTGCTGGGACTACAGG